ACCTTCCTTACTGAGCAAGGTGATTGAATCTCAAGGGCAAGACACATTAATATTATCCATCAGGAATCAGGTACAGTCAGGTACGCATGACCAGGGTTTGGGCCATTCACGCGGATGACAGTTTTTGATTTAGGGAAAAGATTGTGATTTTTGAGTCTATGGATCTGAGAGAGGAGATCCTCAAGGAATTTCATTACTCCTGTTGTCCTATGTATCTTAGTGGCATGAAGATGTACCATGATTCTCACCACTAATATTACTAGAGTGAGATGAAGAGACATGTGGGAGACTTTGTCAATAGATGTCTTACGTGTCAACAAATTAAGGCCGAGCACTAGAGACCAATAGAGCTAATTCAGCCTTTGGAGGTAGTTGAATTGAAGTGGGAACACATCATTATAAATTTCGTGACCCACCTACTATTGACTTTACATGGCACAATGTAGTATTGGTGATAGTATACCAGCTTATGAAGTTGACATATTTTTTAGCTGTGCGGATGACCTTTACAATAGAGGATTTCTGTAGATTATATATACAGGAGATAGTCTAGATACCCGGGGTATCCGTATCTATAGTATCAAATCAAGATCTCAGGTTCATGGCTCACTTTTATAAGAGATTTCAACGAGTTATGGGGACATAGTTGATGATGAGTATAACTTTTTATTCTCATAAGGACAGTCAGTTGGAAAGGACCATTTAGATTTTAGAGAACATGCTTCGGGCATACATCTTTAACCTCAAGGGCAGTTGAGATGAACATTTACCCTTAGTGGAATTCGCCTATAAAAATAGTTACCAGACGAACATACATATNCTTCGGGCATACATCTTTAACCTCAAGGGCAGTTGAGATGAACATTTACCCTTAGTGGAATTCGCCTATAAAAATAGTTACCAGACGAACATACATATAACATCCTATGAGGTATTATATGGGAAGTCATGTTGTTCTCCGGTATGTTGGACGAAGGTTGGAGAGGGACCTTGCACGGGTTTGGACTTGATCAAGGACACCTCAAAATCATCGTTTCCTAATACCAATGAGCATACTCCCGTAGCGTTTCGTCACTCTTTTTTTTTTAATGTCAGCAATGCCACAACATCCTTGGGCTTTCAATTGCTAGTGATAAATCAAGTTGTGAATTGCTTAACAAGTTAGCCCCAGCTATCCACTGAGTCTCTAGCAAGTCCGTCGAACCATTTCATGGCTGATTCCCCGAGTCTGCTAGGGAATATGATGCCTAACTGAGGCTCATTCTTCTTGTGCATTGTCAGTAGCTGCCTATAATGATGAATATGGGCGGTTGGATCCGTTTTACCATCATAGAGTTTGAAGTTTGGGATGACAAACTTGCTTGGGATTCTTGCACGTTCAATCCATTTAGTAAAAGGAGAAACCTCTGTTCCTCCTACATATTCTCTTGTGGCCCCCCATGCCAAGTCACTTGTCGATTTCTTCTTGGGCCTCTTCAACTGACTATTGAGCTCTTTGGTGATGAAGCATTTTGACTCATTTTCCTAGTTTTCAATTCAGTGAGACTTTCTTCGGTATCTAGCTTCTAGTGAGTCTTTATCACTCCTTTGCCTCTGCCTATTTGGTGTCCTCTATCGTCGTCTTCTAGAGCGTAGAACATTTTCATTAGCAACCTTTTTTTCTCTAGCTTTCCTCAACTCTTCCTTTAACTCCTTGTTTTCCCGCTTTATAGCCTTCTATCTTGTGTATGACTTCTTAAACATTGCGTTGTGTGCATCTAATCCGTCTTGAAACCAATTTTGTTAGGGTGGGATTATCCCCCTTAGCACAGAAGGACTCATTTCGCAGAGTGTCATTCTGGTTCTTATTATCAGGATTGAAACTAGCTAATGACATTCTATCGTCGTGTTGTTCATCCTGACTTTTTTAAATATCTACCCTAATGTCACTATTCGAATGGAACGACACACGTTAGTTTGGATTTGAGTCCTTTTACTAAGCGTCAAAACTTACTGGTGATCCAATGATGCTATTTAACCTTGTCATTGTTTTTTTGTTCATAAAGATTCCTATAGACGGCGTCAAATGTAAGTGGTAAAATTTCAATACCTCATACATTTGATGAAGAAAATTGTATTCATTTGTCAAAGTCCTCCCCTGCAAAATGAATAAACTGTCTAGGATTGAAGTGCTTCGATTAAATGTATTTCAATGTTTAAGTTAGTAACTGTTTGAAAAGAATATGTATACAAATTAGATTTTACGTACCTCTCACAGTGCATCCTGCTCATTTTATATAGGCCTTACCCTATTTCTAGGGTTTCTTTTACTGGCGGGAAAGATGACACATCTCCCCTCACACTTGGTAGTGTTTGTTGGGGATCGTTGAAATATCTCTAGATGCTCCCTCAATTGCAGTTCTGCTGAGCCATTGACTTCGCTCAGTTGTTGCACCTAATTCCCTAATTGTAGGCGATTTCCCTATTGTTCGGTTTAGGTCATGTTTTCAAGTTGAGTTATGTGCAATNGGTATTTCGATGTTTAAGTCAGTAACTGTTTGAAAAGAATGTGTATACAAATTAGATTTTACGTACCTCTCACAGTGCATCCTGCTCATTTTATATAGGCCTTACCCTATTTCTAGGGTTTCTTTTACTGGCGGGAAAGATGACACATCTCCCCTCACACTTGGTAGTGTTTGTTGGGGATCGTTGAAATATCTCTAGATGCTCCCTCAATTGCAGTTCTGCTGAGCCATTGACTTCGCTCAGTTGTTGCACCTAATTCCCTAATTGTAGGCGATTTCCCTATTGTTCGGTTTAGGTCATGTTTTCAAGTTGAGTTATGTGCAATTATGCTTGGTACCATGAACCAAGCTATCATAGTTCAGTTCGGCTTGTCCCTAGTTGTTCTTATTTGTGACTAACGTGATGTGTCCTTTCAAGAACACATGAATGTATTATCTATGCATGTGGCATAAATTTATGCCTCTTCAGTATATTAAGAAGATGTTGTGGCTGGGTTACTGGGTAGACAATTATATCACCACCATGTGCAAAGAACAGAGGTGTGATGTGGNATGAATGTATTATCTATGCACGTGGCATAAATTTATGCCTCTTCAGTAAATTAAGAAGATGTTGTGGCTGGGTTACTGGGTAGACAATTATATCACCACCATGTGCAAAGAACAGAGGTGTGATGTGGACTAATCTGGTTTGTGACACTTCTTCCGAGTCCACATTTGGACGACCTCAAATTAACTTGTTTTTAGTATTTTTCTATATATATATATATATAGAGAGAGAGAGAGAGAGAGAGAGAGAGCAATGACTAGAAATATTTAACACAATTAGAAAAACCTAATGATTAGAAAAACCCATNAAGAGAGAGAGATAGAGAGAGAGAGAGAGAGAGCGCAATGACTAGAAATATTTAACACAATTAGAAAAACCTAATGATTAGAAAAACCCATTATTTATGCTCAGTTCATTTATTGAACGAATTTTAAAATTGAGGTCAAACAAGATTCATTTAATAAATGAAATAAATTTGAATGAGCTTNATTATTTATGCTCAGTTCATTTATTGAACGAATTTTAAAATTGAGGTCAAACAAGATTCATTTAATAAATGAAATAAATTTGAATGAGCTTTTATCCGGTCAATTCTTCAAGAACAATTTGGTTCATTTGGAAATCTAATATATGGTAAGATGTTACGTTTAAACAAAAATCAAAAACTAATGAATCTATATTATCTTGCAAACCAAAACTGTCGAGAAATATCTAACAGAGCTACTTGTAGTGGCTCTCTACACCTTATGCAAATTCCTAGCCAAACTGAGTAAAAACAAAAACAAAAAAACCTTCTAAACAAGTGATAGAAAGAGAAAATGAAATCTTTATTTTCTAGCAAATGCGACTAAAAACCAATTGAAATTAGATTGAACGTCCCATTGAGCTATAACTTTTTTACCAACTCAACATTATGGGACTGCAAGAAGCAAAAAATAATTATGGAAATTCAAAATAAGCCAAAATATAGACCATGAACCAATATTTCTATTTTTACGTGCACTTGTGGACTGATAAGTAATAATCAAAGCAGAACGCGCACGNAAATATAGACCATGAACCAATATTTCTATTTTTACGTGCACTTGTGGACTGATAAATAATAATCATAGCAGAACGCGCACGTGAAAGAGAAAAAACAAAATACTTTTAGTGGGTTGCTGGAGTTCTGATTAGAACTCGTTGGAGGGGAGATACAGAGATATATATAGAGAGAGACACATATTTGAGGTGTGTTGGCGAGATTTACAAAATTCTTCTTTGGAGTGGTCTTCGTCAGAGTTAGGCACCTATGGAGGAATGGTCTTCATTGGAGGGGCGGAGAGGGTAACTAAGAGAGGGTACGTGACTTGGGATTTTTTGATTTAAAAGACTTGGGACTTTTATAATTTTAAAAAATAACTTTTGATTTTACTCACCTAAAGCGTCATTTCGAGTGACGATTTTAAAAATGTCATTTAAAATGATGTTTTATGCTTATAATTTGTGAATGTGTTGTTTATGTCCTAACTTCGTTAAAAAATGTTTATTTTCATAATGAATAATAAAAATGATGTTTTTACCCAAGAAATCGGCATTGTAAATAACAATTTTGAGAAAAAGACTAGATTTGAAAAATAAGGTAAAATGTAACTGAGTTTGAGAGTAAAATTTGAGTGGGACCGAGTATAATCAAAAGCTCCGGTCGGAGCCAGCCCAGACACAAAAGGGCTATTATGGAAAAGAATAAAAAATCCGTTGAAATAATAAATAAAGGGGTACTTCTGCAATTTCAGACAAATTATGTCCCCCCCCCAAAAAAAAAAAAAACCCAATATTACATCGTCGGTCAGGGTATATATCTCCGTAATAGGTCACTCTGCGTGTCCAAGCCAAGCTCATTCACTTCACACTTCAAATCGATCCACACACACACGCCCTGTATGCTTATATAAATACTGTCTCTCTCTCTCTCTCTCTCTAGAGTGATCAGCGAGCAATGCAGGAATGGCTCAGTACAGGCAATCAGGATTCGAGAGAGACAGAGGAGGGGTCCGAAACGGCGTCGCATCGGATCACGTGTCCATCGGGATTCGTGCGAATCCATTGAAGCAGTCACGACATCAACATCATCATCGAAGGTTGAAGAACCGGAAGCTCTCGATCGGCGCTCTCATTGTCATTCTCTCTCTGGCTTTCGTCGTCTCCGTCTCTGCTTTCTTCTACCTCTCCTCTAAAGACCAAGGTCGGTCACTGGGCTTATCCTGTAATACGATCGTTTTCTAATGGCAGTTGTGGTGTGTGTGTGCATGTATATGTATATACATGTATGTATAGTCTGGCTGTTGCGCCTTGTGGAGGTAATGTCAAAGCTTAGATTTATACCAGTCCCTTCTGGTTAATGAAATAACGCTCTAAGCTAGAATTTGTGTTATGGATTGATAAATTAATTCCAATTTTGATTCCCATACATGGATGCCAAATGCTGTGGTCAATGAATGTGTGGATCAGTTGGTCAGAATTTTACGTTTTATTTTGGTTGAGTGTAAAAATCCTATAGAGATGTTTATAAACCAACTTACTATTCTGTAAAAGAATCAAATTGTATGGAAGATGAATTCCTCCACAAATACTTCACTTTTATGAAGTTTTCTCTGTCTAAATTTTTTCGCATTCCAATATAACCATCTCCCCAACTTCTCATCCTTTCCTAATTGTTTTCTTTTTTTTTAGCACCGGTAAATAAGTAACCAATTGGAGTGGGGGCGGATAGAGATGCTGGGAAGGGTGAGGATGTGAATCTGGTGCATTGAAGGGTTCGTCCCTAGTTGGTGTATATATGTATGCACAGTATGTAAGGCAGCAGCTAAAGAGATGATGCTGTGCTGGTTTATCTTGCAAAATGACGGTTTTAAAGAGTCTTCATTAGTGCCTCCCTGAAAATAAGTTGGCTTCATTCATTAAATGGTTGGTTTGCAAAATTTTAAGTGTAACTAGTTTAGTAAAGTGTTAGCTACATACTAGGAGTCCCGATTAAGAATCCTAATTAAGAGAAGCCATCTTAGTATTGTTACTCAGTGAAAATGAAGTTTCACATTCTAAGATTAACTGTTTCATATTTAATTTTCACCTGATTAGCTTATCATTATTGCGGGAAGGATTTGAATATAATTTGATCATCTACTTATAGTTCATGTGTTGGTGCAGGATCAAAGGATTTTCATGCTCAAGATGATGATTCAGGAAATGATACCGACTTTCTTACAAATGTTACACGGACACAGAGATTTAAAGTCCTTAAATTTGGGCATGGTTCTGTTGCACATGGCCGAGATTCACGGTACTGGGACAGGGATGATAGGAGAAGAGATGAAGATTATAGTGAGGACATGGTGGAGCATGCTAGCGTGGATGCTCATGATGGGTCCATTGATAGTGGTCATGTTTCCTTGAAGGGGAAAGATGATGATAAGAAGTCTATTATTGCCGAATCTCGTAAGGGTTTGGATATTAGAGGTGGTGGGTTGTATAATGAAGCTGGGCGCGATGAACTGAAAACATATGAAGCTGAATATGAGGCCTCCTTAAAGGGTGTTGGGCATTCAAGAAAAGAACATAGCAATACAAATCAGCAATCAGATGATGCGCATGCGGAAACTCAGAATGAGGGGATGGATTTTGATGATGAGTATGATGATGGCATCTATTTACATGACGCTCGAAATGAAGAATATCAGGATGCTGTACATGATGATGGGGACCATTCAGATGTAGTAAAATCTGGGATTATAGATGCCAAAATCAAAGATCGAAATATTGCTGAGAAGGTTGAGGGAGCTTCTAGTGATTTGTCTGGTGAAGATTCTTCTTCTAACTCTGTACATTCTGATGAAGAAAGAGTCACACATGTCAGTGTTATTGATGGTCAATCTGTAAGGTCTACTTCTGAAAGGCATTCAGTTTCGAAAAAGAAGTCAAAGCGCCGCAAATTTTCTGGTAATTTCTTGGTTTCCTCTAGTGAAAGTATGGGTATTTGTGTTCCAATTTTGGTAATGGCTAACAGACCAGAATAACAGGGATGTCAATTGATGTGTGTCTTTTGTGTGTAGGAAATTTATTTGCATTGAGCATTTTTAGATTCTATATGAACTAGATATCGAAGTCATATGAGTTTGATTTAAGAGGATAACAGAGATAAAATTTAAAAACATTCTGCTGACTATGCAACTGCTATTGCTCCAGTTGCTGGCATGTCATCCTAATGCTGCCCCTATTGCTCCGGTAGTTAACAATATTGTCCTTTACAGTTCCTCCATTGTTATGGTTGCTGTGAGGCTCACATCTTATAATCTGTGTCCTCCCTTTTCTTGCTAGTCTAAGGATACATTTGTGATTTTAATGACGTTTGATGTTTAAGATCCTTTACTAAAAGCCTAGACAATTTTGACCCATGAGAAACTATTAATTACTTGGTATCTTGAACCTTTTATTTTATTAATTTAGAAAATATATCCTTCAAAATTTTCATGTTTTCACTTCTAACCATTGATAGCCATAATCCAATGAGTTCCAATGGTACTTGGAATTCAAATACACAATTTTGTATTACATGTACGTCACATATTTTGGTTTAAATTTAGAAAATTTAATGTTATGATTATTTAGTTCCTTTTGACAATGAATGTGCTTTTTTTGAATGAAACAAGTTTATTTACCGAATGAAGATTGATTTTTTCATAATTCACGAAAAAACTAAAATTTATCAATTGGTTGAGCTGAAGGAGTGCTTTTTTTTATTTCTTTTCTATTTATCCTTCTGGATTTGTCTTTTTCTTTTTTTTTTTTGGAAAATTTATTCAGAATTTTGAAGCTACATAGTCTTCCTTGTCTTTCCCTAAATATATAAACGAATTTAAATTGCAACTTTTTTATGGTTCTTCTTTCTTAGATCAAATTTCATCCCTAACTTGCTGACCTTTCAGTTTAGTCACCTTTTATTATCATTTATATTCTACCATCTTTGATCAATTAATTTACTAATATTTAGAATCATAAAAAATTTATAATTACCTGAAAATTTTTAGATATAATTTAATACTATTCTGTAATGCTTTACTGTTTTTTAGTTCATTGTGCCCTGTGAAAATGAATTTTTATGGGCGTTTGGTTTAAAATTTCTGAGGCCTGCCAAGAATTGTCATGTAGGTTATCTAGGTGTCATATAAATTGGGTGACACTCTACGTAGCAAAACTATGTAGATTAACCTTATACCAAAGTTACTATGACTAATTGTGATTTTAATTGTCATTAGGTATGAGATGTAATTTGGTTGAGGGATTTGTTATTGAGAGGGATAGTACTTCTGTGTCTCATTTGGAATTCGCAGAGAACACAATTTTTTTTCCCTCGGGTGATGCGGAGAAGTTTAAAAATATGATTTGCGTAGAAGATTGTTCATAGACTTTCTTTTGTGTCTTTGCTCTTAGGGTTTCTTCCTTCTCTTTTGGTCCTATTAAAAAGGCATTGAAAAATGCATATTTGTGTGTATTGAGATTGGGAATCAGTGGCTATATTATCTAGTTGTTGGGCTTATTTGATGAATGCACAAAAATTCAATGAAGTATCTTACTTTGAAAGTTGGTATTTTTGCCAATCAGTGGACTTAAGTTACCATGGAATGACTTATGATGACATATTACGATTGAACATTCATGTCATGTTTGTCATATAGATTGCTTATCATATTACTTGCTATAAATTTTAAGTATCTTTCTGCACATGAAACGATTTACAACACAGAAGCAATTGCAGAATTCTATATTTGCTGCAATATCCAATTTGACATTGATTGATGTTGATTATATAAAAAATTCAGGTTCTTGTGAGATGAAGTTTTTGAATTCTACAGCGAAGCTTGTAGAACCTTTGGAAAGTCGAAAGTTTGCAAGATTTTCCTTGCAGTATACAAATATACAAGGTAGGCCCGTTGGACAAGAACAATGGGAGCCCAGATTTGCGGGGCATCAGAGCCTAAAAGAAAGAGAAGAATCATTTATTGCCCATGATCAGAAAATAAATTGTGGCTTTGTGAAAGGTCCTAAAGGATCTCAAAGTACGGGATTTGACTTGGCAGAAGATGATGCTAAATACATTAGTACATGCCATATTGCTGTGATTTCTTGCATCTTTGGAAATTCTGATCGCTTGAGAACACCAATGGGAAAAACGGTATTGAACATTATTTATTTTCGTATTTTCTTTATGTGCATTAATCTAGGAAAATAGTTGGCGTTAGGTTCTTTTTATATTGGCATGGTCTTCTCTGTTTACGTATTATTTTTGTGTAGCAGTGACAAATATGCTTATTATGAGTAATCTTCGTTATACAGGCAAAGATTGTACATCTGTCTTTGCATCTGTTTTATTGTGGCCTATATGCATAGATTTTTTTTTGACGGGAACGATAAAGTATTATTAAATTACGTAAAAGAGTATAGTATGGTGGAGGACAAGTAGTTCTTTAAAGATACAATGAGAAAACATAATGCAATGGAGTGCTTGTAAGACTCTACTATACAACGATCCTTAATTAAGTATACTGGAATCCCTTCAAAATCTTTGGTCAAAGGCACCCACAAGGATGTCATAAAGAAAATCTTGTCCCAAGATCTTCCCAGGGAGCCTCTTTATCCTAAAAAATCCATCTATTTCTTTTCAACCAAACCATCTGAAACAAGACCAATATCACGCATTTCCAAAGGATTTTGGTCTTATCACCTGAACCAAAGTCATCAAAATTCATACTCATAAACAAGTCACAACTTCTTGGAACCACCCATGGGATCTCGAAAATGCCCAAAAGATGATTCCACAACTTTGAGACAAAAGAGCAATGAAAAAATAAATGATCNAAATTCATATTTGTGTGTATTGAGATTGGGAATCAGTGGCTATATTATCTAGTTGTTGGGCTTATTTGATGAATGCACAAAAATTCAATGAAGTATCTTACTTTGAAAGTTGGTATTTTTGCCAATCAGTGGACTTAAGTTACCATGGAATGACTTATGATGACATATTACGATTGAACATTCATGTCATGTTTGTCATATAGATTGCTTATCATATTACTTGCTATAAATTTTAAGTATCTTTCTGCACATGAAACGATTTACAACACAGAAGCAATTGCAGAATTCTATATTTGCTGCAATATCCAATTTGACATTGATTGATGTTGATTATATAAAAAATTCAGGTTCTTGTGAGATGAAGTTTTTGAATTCTACAGCGAAGCTTGTAGAACCTTTGGAAAGTCGAAAGTTTGCAAGATTTTCCTTGCAGTATACAAACATACAAGGTAGGCCCATTGGACAAGAACAATGGGAGCCCAGATTTGTGGGGCATCAGAGCCTAAAAGAAAGAGAAGAATCATTTACTGCCCATGATCAGAAAATAAATTGTGGCTTTGTGAAAGGTCCTAAAGGATCTCAAAGTACGGGATTTGACTTGGCTGAAGATGATGCTAAATACATTAGTACATGCCATATTGCTGTGATTTCTTGCATCTTTGGAAATTCTGATCGCTTGAGAACACCAATGGGAAAAACGGTATTGAACATTATTTATTTTCGTATTTTCTTTATGTGCATTAATCTAGGAAAATAGTTGGCGTTAGGTTCTTTTTATATTGGCATGGTCTTCTCTGTTTACGTATTATTTTTGTGTAGCAGTGACAAATATGCTTATTATGAGTAATCTTCGTTATACAGGCAAAGATTGTACATCTGTCTTTGCATCTGTTTTATTGTGGCCTATATGCATAGATTTTTTTTTGACGGGAACGATAAAGTATTATTAAATTACGTAAAAGAGTATAGTATGGTGGAGGACAAGTAGTTCTTTAAAGATACAATGAGAAAACATAATGCAATGGAGTGCTTGTAAGACTCTACTATACAACGATCCTTAATTAAGTATACTGGAATCCCTTCAAAATCTTTGGTCAAAGGCACCCACAAGGATGTCATAAAGAAAATCTTGTCCCAAGATCTTCCCAGGGAGCCTCTTTATCCTAAAAAATCCATCTATTTCTTTTCAACCAAACCATCTGAAACAAGACCAATATCACGCATTTCCAAAGGATTTTGGTCTTATCACCTGAACCAAAGTCATCAAAATTCATACTCATAAACAAGTCACAACTTCTTGGAACCACCCATGGGATCTCGAAAATGCCCAAAAGATGATTCCACAACTTTGAGACAAAAGAGCAATGAAAAAATAAATGATCTGTAGTCTCAAGATTCTTCTTACAAGAATACACCATTGCGGCTGAAGAGAACGAAAAGGCCTTCGTTTTTGGATCATCTCATTAATATTAAGTTTCTTATGAATAATCAACCATGTAAACACTTGTATCTTAAAGGTGCCTTACTCTTCCAAACGAAAGGTTTTTTTTTTGGGTAAATTTCTTCCAACTAAAGTTGAGGGGTAAAAGAATGGAAGAGTTGGTTATCAGTCAAGGATTCGAAAAAAGAATTACAAGAAAACTCATCCAAAGAAGAAATGGTCCAAATTTTTTTGTCCAAAGAAGAATGCCCCAAAACAATGTTATTAAGAATATCTAAAAGTGCGGAAAACTCATCCACATCCCTGTTGTTCAAATTTCTAAAGAAATTGAAGTTCCAACTAATTGAGGGGGAAAACGAGGAAACCATACTAGCAATATAAACATTATGAGATCTAGATAAACAGTATAAGTGATGAATAAGGATCAAAATTTTATTTCGGTACATTGTTTTAATATTTTGAAAATGAAAATGTTTTTGAAACATTTCGGAAATAAGATGGGAATAAAGAAAAAATTTAAAAATTTATTTCCAAAATATTGGTCGAAACAACTGAAATATACTGAAACACCTCGAAATATAGGAATTTTGATATTTAATCAATGAATCGTTTCGGTTTCCATGAAAACAAAAACGTTACGGACGTTTCGGGAGTTTTAAAACGAAATTTAATTCCATGGCCTCGGCTTGAATGGATAACGAGATCCTTATCTGATTTTAAAGGAAGATGTCTTAGGATTGCCTCATGTCAAAGCCATATGCAGTGCAAGCCTTAGCCAGGGCTTGTTTTTCACTCATGATTCTTTTCTCATAATCAAGATGCAATCCTACTGGCAAAATGGGGGAAAATCCTGAGTGCATGGAAAATTTATGGAGGTGTGCCAGCGTCTCTAAAGGCAGATAAATAAAGAAGAAAGATAGAAGACACCTTAGACAATACCATATAATCGGTTTGTTCAGAGTATTGATCTTTTCACCAACAGAGTGTACTTTTCAGTAAACACTTGAGGCTAAGTATTGGAAGCTCTGTACACTTAAAGGATCTCCTTCCACTAACTCTAGAATAATGTTGCCAAATGAAAACCCAGGTCAAACTGTAGTTGGAGAATGACCAAACTGACTCACTTCACCAACGTCATAGGCAATGTCACGCAGTGTAACAGTGGGATAGACCGGACTGCCAAAAAGAGTACGTTATAACTTACAAATTAAAATCAACAAAAGCAATGTCATTAGTAGAACTATAATGCACTTAAGCTCGAGAAGAGTCTAAACAATTTTTTTTGTCTGGGAAAGTTATAGCACTTGGGAGACGAAGTCACTTCAATGTCCAAAAAATATCGAAGGGATCAAGATCCTTCATAGTTGTTGTAAATTAGACTTGAAGATTGAAATATACTTATAGTTGTTCCCAGTAACTAATAACGGCATGGACAAGTTATAGAAGCAGAACATTTGATGAACAAGTGAATGAAGAAAAAGAGCGGAATTATAATCAATAGGATGGGTTGAAACAGAATTGGGTCAGTTCAGATCGGGTTGAGTATTTAACCCAATCGACAAAGATTCTTCGCCACAAAGTTTCTGGTTCAATCACCTGTATCCCTAACCTGGACAAAGTGGAACATTGCAGCTTCAACTCCTACTGCAATACCACCAGGATGGTGATCATCTTCTTAAAACAACTTTGATTCTGTGGTAATCAAACCTCCAGGCCAAGTCTTTTCCTTTCTTGAGTAAGTTGAGCAGAGCAAGAACAAAGTGACGATGGTGAGAGTGATGTTCTCACAGTATTGGGTGACTGCTACAACTAGAACGATGAAGCAACCAATACAACAATGAGGGATTTAGAAAAAATGGCAACGATTATGATGAATAGGTGGCAGGGAAGTTTGAAGCAACAATGGATTGAACTGTATATGGTGGTTAGCAGCAGAATTGGAAGGCTACAAAGAACATGTTGGACTTTAACAAAGGCAGCAAGGCATGATGAAAAGAAGCAGCAACTATGGATGAAATTGAAAATCTAGATCACACTCTACAAAGAAGAGAAGGCATGAGAAGAGAAACAGAGAAAAGAAATCTGATAACTGCTCTCTGGTATTTTATGATATGAAAAATAGGTACAAAACGTATACATGTAAAATGCTACAACAAAAAAGATTGGACTACTGGTAATGAAACATACCAAAATAATAAAACCAATCTTAACAAAATTTCTGTAGATCATGCTTCCCAATATCTCTACAGATCCTGCTTCCGGATTTCTCCTATCTACCTTACTTCCGTTCCACTTAGCTTGACAGAACAGCTGAGTCTACAGTTTCGTGTCTGTCTGCAGTCAAAGTAATTGGTTGACCATCTCCTCTGCCTCTTTGAACATAGAACAGTAGTTGTTGAGGAAGTTGCATAGCTGCTGTAAATAATAGCCTTCAATCCTGTTGTCCACTAAAAACCTTCACGGAAAAGCTCTTGAGAGCCATACAGGCCCTGTCAAAGTATCTAAGAGAGAAAAATCCCATTTTTAGCGCACCAATTGACTCTTCATCATATTGTCTAATGCAAACCTCATTTAGGAAGTTAAGAAAAGTATCAAACAACACCAGTTCTAGTCTGAAGAAATGCTAGTTCAGCTGTTTTCAAACTTCTAAGGGATGCTGAATGATCTTATTAACTGTATAAACCAACTCCAGCTCTAATTTGTGATGGTCTGCCAAATCCTGGACACTGCACTTGTCCTTCTTATGTATGGCTATACTAGCCTCATTGTTCACCATTATCATGGATAAGCCTAGAAAGCATCCTGGAGAGGGGTACCGCTGCATGAGTATGATGCTGTATCGTAATTATATGCTCACTGCCTACTTTAACACTGACATACTTGGACAAATATTTCTGAGTCCTACCCATTTGAAATGATTTTCTATTGCCCCACTCTGTGAGGAGTTCTTGTTTCCTCTACAAATCACTCTCCGTTCTTTATATGACCTTTACCTCTGCTATTCTAAAAGTGGACAACCTGCAGAGTTCAGATGTTTTTAACCTTTTAACTCTTAATTAAATGTTTAAAACATGAAGACTGTTTATACTTATTGAGTCATTTCAAAAACCAAAATTCAATACTATTCCGATATAATTTTCACCTAAGAAGGTTTCATGCCAAGTTGGAAGAGTCTGACTTTTACTGCATGTTAAATACGTGTAGCACAAACTTTAATTTGGTCAAAATGTTTCCTTTGAATATCTTGTTGTAAATTTGCATCCCTATTGCGTGTGTTAATTTTTTTGTTGCATAAAACAGTACCTTTAGACTTGTACCGCTCCCAATAATTGTATCACTTTGAGGGCTTCCAAGTGACTGTATCCTATTGAGTGCTAGACATGGGAGTTTATTCATTACTGTATTTTGTATTGTGGATGAGTCTTGGGCTACAGCCCATTGAAATACTGTACAGAACTCAACCACAATTTTTAGAGTGTTAACAGTCGTTTTGTTTCCTATCAAAAAAAGTGTGAAACATTCAAGTTATTCATTATTTTACCATAAGAAAGTTTATTCATTATAATATTTTTTTGTGTGTGCTAGTCTTTGGCTCAAGCCTGCTAAAAATGTGGCAGATCCCAAATACTAACCACAATTTTTTGAGGTGTGAAATTTGATAGGAAACGAGAAATAAATGAGGAAATGGCTAGTAGAATGAGAGATCACTGAGAAAAAGTCCCATCACTCCACAAAAAAAAAAAGGGCCAAAACAACACTCAAGGCATACTGAAAAACCTACCACACTTTGAAGAAATACGAGCTTCCTATATAGAGGCCACTCAATAAAAGTCTTCAAGGGGCATAATCTTAATTTCTTCAGCAGCTCTTGACTTGGTTCAATGAATTAAAGGAGAAGCTATTGGGGTCCAAATTAAGTAAGTCGAGAACATTGTAAAAGCCATGCCTGTAGGCATTGAGGCTCCAATCTGTCAAATGGGGTAACTAGATAAATTTCGCTCAACAAAGCACAGGGTAAGAGTGGGGAAATCAAGATAGACCAAACTTTATGGTAAGAGTCACTCAAAATAGAACTTGATAGTACTCTCTGAATCTGACAATTGCACGTAAGAACACCTAAAAAATTACCTAGTGAATCATTGTCACTGGCTCTGAATTCCTTTTTTCTCCCCAATCTATTTGCTCCAAGGATTGTATACTTCCTACTTGCATATTATGTGCTGATGCTTTAACCTTAACGTGTCATTAGCAATTGGAATTGAATGTGTTTCTGTTGTGCATGTTGAATCTTATCCAGCAAATACAGTTTTGGATAA